GGTTCTGTATCGTGGGCTCCAGCATCCTCCAGGTCATGTTCTCCTGCCCGAGCCAGGCCAGAACAGTCGACTCCTCCAAGCCCAGCTGCAAGCCTACTGTGGAGCTGGATGCCCGTTTCTGGGCTGACACCACCAGAGAGTCTCCACAGATACACACTCGAGGCTTAGAGTCTTGTCCAGCAGTGTCAACAGAAAATTAAAAGGGAATGCAAGATAACCTGGGCCAAAAGCTCAGGATTCTGAAGGAGATGCCGATGAACAGGCATATGACTCACGCCCTGTGACTGCCAAGCAGCGCACCCCTCTGTGCCCTCAAAAGGCATTTCTCAGCAGTGCCAGAACACGGGAGGAATGAACATGAGAACTGCATTCATAGAATCATAGAGTTGGAAGGGGATCTCCAGGGTCATCTAGTCCAACCCCCCTGCAGAATGCAGGAGAAGTCACAAATACCTCCCTCCCACACCCCCAGTGACCCCTGCTCCATGCCGAGAAGATGATAAAAAACCTCCAGGATCCCCGGCCAAACTGGTCTGGAGAAAAATTGCTTCCTGACCCCAAAGTGGCAATCAGCATTTCCATGGGTGTGGAAGATAGGGCCACAAGAACTAAGCCCTGAGGCAACCCTTCTCGCCTTCCCTTCTCGTGATCTGCCGAAGTTCACACAATCAGCATTGCTGTTAGATGGCCATCGAGCCTCTGTTTGAAAACCTCCAAAGGAGGAGAGCCCACCACCTCCCAAGGAAGCCTGTTGTTCTCTTTGTAATGTTTAGCCGAAAATTCTTCTGATTTAATTTCAACCCATTGGTTCCGGTCCGATCTTCTGGGGCAACAGAAAACAACTCTGTACCATCCTCTATATGACAGCTCTTCAAGTGCTTGAAGATGGTTCTCATATCACCTCTCAGTCGTCTCCTCTCCAGGCTAAACATACCCAGCTCCTTAAACCTTTCCTCATAGGACGATCTCCAGACCCCTCACCATCTTCGTTGCTCTCCTCTGGACATGTTCCAGCTTGTCTATATCTTTCTTAAATTGTGGTGCCCAAAACTGATCACAATACTCTAACCAGAGCAAAGTGGTACCATCACCTCATGTGATCTGGACACTATACTTCTGCTGATACACCCCAAAATTGCATTTGCCCTTTTAGCAACAGTATCACACTGATGACTCCTGTTCAGTGTATGGTCTCCTAAGACCCCTAGATCCTTTTCGCGCATACTACTGCTAAGAGAAGTCTCCCCCATACTGTAATCATGCATTTGATTTTTCCTACCTAAATGCAGTTTACATTGATCCCCACTGGAATTCATTTTATTTGATTTAGCCCAGTTTTCCAGCCTGTCAAGATCATCTTGTATCCTGACCCTGTCTTCTACTATATTTGCTACCCCTTCCAATTTAGTATCATCTGCACATTTAATAAGCATTCCCTCTATTCCTTCATCTAAAACATTGATAAACATGTTGAACAAAACAGGTCCCAGGACAGATCCTTGAGGCACTCCACTTGTCACTCCTCCCCAAGAAGATGAGGAACCATTCAAAAGCAGTTACAGATCCACCTAACAGTTCTAGGATCGAAACCACATTTTACCAATTTGTCAACAAGAATATTATGTAGAACTTTACCAAAAGCCTTACTGAAATCAAGATAAACTATGTCTACAGCATTTCCCTGATCCAACAAGGTAGTAACTTTCTCAAAAAAAGAGATAAGGTTAGTCTGACATGTCTTCTTCTTGAGAAACCCATGCTGGCTTTTAGTAATCACAGCCATCCTTTCTAAATGCTCAAGGACCGTCCGTTTGATTATTTGTTCTAAAACTATCCCAGGTATAGACATCAAGCTGATGGGTCAGTAGTTACCCAGATCCTCCTTTCCCCCCTTCTTGAAGACGGGGACAACATTTGCTCGCCTCCAATCTTCTGGAACCTCACCTGTTCTCCATGAATTCTCAAAATAATGGACAGAGACTCAGAAATTACATTCGATTCCACATTGATCAGGAGTGAAACTGGTAGCTAGCAGCACCTGGAAATCAGCAGTATGCTGCTTTTAAATCTGGAAAGTCTGTTCCCAGCTATGTTGAGAGTACTCTGTTAAGACCTGTCCTGAGTTTGTATACATTACGAGGTGGATGCATAAACCAACTAAATTCGATTACAATTAGGGTAAACCCAGTAGCTTCGTCCCGCAGGGGCTGGCAAGGAATTGCAATGGGTATCTCATTTCCCCCTCCTGCACTGCCTCCTTTCCCCTTCCCTGAAAGCCCCCCATAGCCTCTGCCCTTTTCCTGCTTCCTTTTCTCCTTTCCACCCTCCAACCGATCTGACCCCAGCTTTGCCACTGCCGTAGTGGTGATGCTCCCCATTCCACCTCAGCTTCACTGCAGTGGCTCCTCCACATCCCATCCAGCCCCAGCTTCACCATGGTGGTGACTCCCCACCAGGCCCATCTAACTCGAGCTTCGTTGCAGCAGCCCCCTCACTTGACCACTTCGCCCCCTGCTGGCAGCTCCCACTCTTCTTCCCTGCTTGTGTCCTCATGATGTGCCCACCTGCATCGAAAGAACAGCTCTCTACATTTGCACAGCAAACTGTTCTTTATTTTAGGGGGCTGTTTTTAGTGGTTAAGTGCACGGACTCTAATCTGGGAGAGCCGGGTTTGATTCCCCACTCCTCCACTTGCACCTGGCTGGATGACCTTGGGCAAGCTGTAGCTCTGATAAGAGCTGTTCTTGAAAAATAGCAGTTTCTGTCAAGAGCTCTCTCAGCCCCAACTTACCTCACAGGGTGCCGGTTGTGGGGAGGGGAAGGGAAAGGAGTTTGTAAACCGCTCTGAGACTGTTTGGGTAGTGAAGGGCGGGGTATAAATCCAATCTCTTCTTCTTCTTCTAGTTCCAGATCACTGATGCATAAATTAAACAGTACTGGCCCTAATACATGTAATCACATGTAAATAGAAATAAATAAATAAATAATACCGATCCTTGTGGGACACCACTGGTTACTAGGGATGGATACCAACCGAATTACAAACTAGGGTGGTTCATGGTTCGCAGTCCGCCCACAAACCACCATGATTTTTGCAGCAGTTTGTTTGGTTGCTGATGAGCTCAGAGGGCATTTAAATGTCAAACACAGGGTGTCAAACATAAGGTTTGGAGGCCGGAATCGGCTCGTCCAGGGCTCGTACCTGCCCCACAAGCCACTTACATGCATGAAAATAAGGTTTTCCCCCTTTCATGGTATCCCTTGGAAAAAACCTAGTCTTGTATTTGATTAAATACATTTATTCGGTCTTTCGTGGCTTCCCCAGTAAATCAATTGCTTTCACTGCTAGGAATCAATTGCTTTTGTCTGTATTTTAAGCAAAAAAACCTCTACCTTTAATTGAGTTTCCCTGTGTCCTTTATAAACTTTATATCTGATACCTGACATTACATTTTATGGCACACATGGCCCAGCCCGACAAAGTAACATTTATATCAGATCCGGCTCTTGTAACAAATTAGTTCAACATCTACAGTTACTGGTTCACCACTGTCTACATGCTTGCTCACTTTCTCAAAGAACTCCAGAAGGCTGGTGAGGCAGGACTTCCCTTTGCAGAAGCCATGCTGATTATCCCTCAGCAAGATTTGTCCCTCTATGTGCCTAACAACTCTCTCTTTGATTACAGTTTCTACTAGTTTGCCTAGGACAATATTAGGCTGACTAGCCTCTACATTCCTGGTTCCCTTTTAAAAAAACTGGTGCCACATTTGCTACTCCCCAGTCTTCTGGTACAGCAGCTGAATTCAGTGATAGGTTACATATATGGGTTAGTAGATCAACGATCTAACATCTGAGTTTCTTAAGAAGAAGAGGAGAGATTGGATTTATACCCCGCCCTTCACTACCCAAAGGAGTCTCAGAGCGGCTCACGAACTCCTTTCCCTTCCCCTCCCCCACAACAGACACCCTGGGAGGCAGGTGGGGCTGAGAGAGTTCTGACAGAACTGTGGCTTGCCCAAGGTCACCCAGCAGGTGCAAGTGGAGGACTGGGGAATCAAACCCGGTTCTCTCAGATTAGAGTCTGCGCACTTAACCACTACACCAAACTCTTGTATGCCATCAGGACCTGGAGTCTTGTCGGTTTTTAATTTTAATTTCCCCAGTAGGTCTAGAATCTCTGGTCTCCTCAATTTGGCTCCATTCTTCAGACTCCCTTCCTGAAAATATGGGCTGTAGCATGGGTACATGCCCCACACTTTCCACAGTGAACACAGGGGAAAAAAGCTATTGAGCATCTCTCTATCTTCCTTTAGCAATCCCTTTATTTAGGGAGGGGCTGTGGCTCAGTGGCAGAGCATCTGCTTGGCATGCAGAAGGTTCCAGGTTCAATCCCCGGCATCTCCAGTTGAAAGATCTGGCAGTAGGTGATGTGAAAGACCTAAGACCCTGGAGAACCACTGCTAGTCTGAGTAGTCAAAACTGACTTTGATGGACTGAGGGTTTGATTCAGCGTAAGGCAGTTTCATGTGATTTATTCCTTTGTCATCCAAAGGCCCCACTGCTTCTCTGGTTTCCTGCTCTGGATATATTTTTTAAAACATTTATTGTTTGACTTGATGCTTTTAGCAACCTGCTCCTCAAAATCTCTTTCTGCATACCTAATTATGGACTTACACACCTCTTGCGGCAGCTGGTGCCACAGGACAGGGGCCCCTAAGGCCAAGGTCATCGCCCTTCCTGACTCAAGGCAGGCAGTTTGTGAACCAGGGACCTTCAATACATTCTGAGATGATGACTGGAGAAGATGGGGAGGATCATGCTAGGAGAGGCGGTCACAAAGGTACGAGGGTCCCAGGCTGCAATATATGCTGATGCTAATGACAGTGATATAATGATAGTAATGAAACACATTCCTATTGCTCAAATTGTATATTTACATGCACAAATATACCACTAACCTGTAAAACAAGGGGGGGGGGGAATCCCCAGCTCCTCACCTGAACCAGGACAAACGCTTCCAGGTACCAGTACCGGCTCCGTATCTCCTTGCCTTGCTTTGATGTTTGGACCAATGTCTTGCTGGGAGCTGGGGACCTCCGGGCACTTGTTCTCTGTCTCACCACTCGCAGAGGTGCCTTGCTTGGGGACCGGATCTGCCACAGGCAGGCTCTCTGTCTCACTACTTCCAGCAGCGCCTTCTTTCAGGCCACAACTTGCTGCCACGCCTTGACTCTCTGACTTGCTGCCCACAGCAGTGCCTTGGTGGGGGGAAAGACCCAGCACACGGTCGTCTGCTGCCTTGTCACTTGGTGCAATGACTGGCTCAGGCCACTGATCTACTACAGACATGGTCTCTTCCTCATCACTTGCAGCAGTGCCCTGCTGGACGCTGGGACTCACCACGCATTTGCTCTTTGCCTGGCTGCACAACGAGGTGTCTTCCTTGGGGCAAGGACTCTCCGGACTTGTACGCTTAGCCTCGGTGCTCTTAGCAGTGCCCTGCTGGGGACTCGGACCCTTGGTGTCCTTGTCAGTGCCTTGCTGGGAACTCGGACCCTTGATGCCGTCTGCGCTGCCTTCCTGGGGACTCGGACCCTTGGTGCCATCCGCACTGGCTTGCTGGGAACTTGGACCCTTGGTGCCCTCTACTGTGCCCTGCTGGGGACTCGGACCCTTGGTGTCCTTCGCAGTGCCCTGCTGGGTACTCGGACTTTTGGTGTCCTTCGCACTGCCTTTGTGGGGACTCGGACCCTTGGTGTTCTTGTCAGTGCCCTGCTGGGGACTCGGACCCTTGGTGCCCTTCGCAGTGCCCTGCTGGGTACGCGGACCTTTGGTGTCCTTCGCACTGCCTTTGTGGGGACTTGGACCCTTGGTGCCCTTCGCAGTGCCCTGCTGGGTACGCGGACCTTTGGTGTCCTTCGCACTGCCTTTGTGGGGACTCAGACCCTTGGCGTTCTTTGCAGTGCCCTGCTGGGTACGCGGACCTTTGGTGTCCTTCGCACTGCCTTTGTGGGTACTCAGACCCTTGGCGCTCTTTGTAGTGCCATGCTTGGTACTCGGACCTTTGGTGCCCTTCGTGGTGCCTTGCTTGGTACTTGGATCCTTGCTGCCCTTCGCAGTGCCATGCTGGGTACTCGGACCCTTGGTGCCCTTAGCAGTGCCTTGCTGGGTACTCGGATCCCCCAAACTTTGGCTCTTGGCCTTCTTGGTCACAGACTTAACTCGATGGCGGTTTGGATCTCTTCTGCTTGCTCTTGTTGTTGATGCTCCTCTGGAATCTAAGACAGCTGTGATTACCTGCGTTGCAACCTGCTGGATCATGGAGATAAGGTCAGAAGACGCAGCAGACGTGTTTGTCAACCTGGCAGCAAGCTGAGCAGAGTTCCTTCCTTCGCTGAGTGTTCCCCCTGCTGCCCCTTGCGCCTGAAGCTGCGCCATGGCCTGAAGGACACTTTTTTCTGTGAGGGAAGCCAATGCCGAGTGTTCAGGCTCTACACGTGATCGTCCTTCTGGCACCAGCTTATCGCACGTCTGCTCTTTGCTTCTTCTCTCATCCGCAGACAGCTTCTGGTGCGGGGCATCCTCCCTTGTCTGCTCCAAATCTTCACCTCTCTTTTTCTGACAGTCTGGACCACTGCAGGTCCATTTCTGTTCACTGTACTCTTTTTTGGAACAAGGTGTCTTGGCATGTCGTCCCTCTGTAGGCATAACAAGGGTAGAAAAAACAAACAGGCGGTTAATCTCATCCTGAGTTTAACAGTGCAGCCCGACACAGCGTCGCTCCAATCAGTGGATTTTAGACCGAAGTAGCTCTGAAAGTGACAGAACTGCCAGTCACCTGCTCTCTACTGCTGAGAGCTTCACATCTCTATGGGATATTATAAGGGATAGGTAAAGAGTTCTGGGTTTAAAGGACTGCATGTTACTACCTTTTCTTTTATTCCTTGCTCAGCTGGGTTGTGTTTACATATTCCATGCGTGGTTTTCATTTTCTTATCAGATTTCACACTTTCAAAAGGGAATTAGATAAGCATATGGAGCAGAGGTCCATCAGTGGCTATTAGCCACAAGGTATAGATAGGGACTCTGGGGCAAGTGATGCTCTGTCATCTTGGTGCTTGGGGGGGTCAACAGTGGGAGGGCTTCTAATGTCCTGGCCCCACTGGTGGACCTCCTGATGGCACTGGTATTTCTGGCCACTGTGGGATACAGAGTGTTGGACTGGATGGGCCTTTGGCCTGATCCAACATTGGCATCTCTTATGTTCTTATGTTCTTATGTTCAATGTGGCTAGCTCACAATCTCTGACTACCCTAAAGCCCCTGCTCCATCCATGTACACCAAGAGCATGCCAGGGAAGGGGGTAGCTGTTAGGCCTAGTCCCCGCAGCGTTCAACCAGGGATGCTGGTGCATTCAGCTACCAGAGAGAGAAGGGGGGGGGGGAATGCAACTCCTGAGGAAAGCCTTTATATGGGAAAGCAGCAGAGGGCGCCTGAGCACAAGCTCTGAGGTAGAAGGTACCTTGTAGTACTGGCAATAGAGGGGGGGGGGGAGAGTATTAGGGAGTGAAAAAGAACCAAGATGCGGTATACTTTTCTCACTCCCACACAGATGGAAATGAGGATTTATGAGACCTGTTTTCCCACCCCAATGAAAAGGCCCTCTGCACCCATTCTAGCAGGCCACTCATTCCAGAGGACTGGGGCCAAATGTGAGAAATAACATGTCTCAGCTGTTGCCATATGGACAATCATAAGAGGGAGCACCAGAAGGAGACCGCTGTCTGAGGAATATGGCTACTGTGTGGGTACATATCTAGAGACACCGTTCAATAAATGTGAGGGTCTTAGGTCAGTAAAGGCTTTAAAGATAGCAACCGGCATTTTGAATCTGGCCTGGAATTAAATACATAACCAGAGCAATTGATGGAGCACTGCATTTACATGATCATCAAACGTAGGCTTGCTCACAACTATTATGTTAGTAGCTCACGGAGTAGAATTTTTGCTCACAAGACTCCACAGCTTAGAGGGAACATTGCTGGGCACAGGCAACTTTTAGCCCTCAGTCAACTTGAATAATTTCACTGGATGAGATTCAGCCAATGTGATGGAAAAGGATCCTCCTTTGCCACCATCACTGCTACCTCATCGCCTCTCCAATGGCCTCTAAAGCGTAATCCATTTGATTCAGCATGAATTTTCTGCCTATGTTGCTCAAGCCATCTTACCAACCTTTTCAGAGAACCTAGCTCTCCGGTTACCTATGGGGCTGTGGCCCACCTTGATGTCGGGAGACAGTGTCAAGAAGAGACCTTGCCAATATAGCACCCTGCAAACCACGAGTCTGTGCTGATAAAAAGCAACAATAAGGTCTCAACCATTTTGTGGTTGTCTCTTGTGGCAGCCATTTTGTAGATGCACCTACCACCCTATGTCAGTATTCCAAAGGTGCCCATATGTGCAAAAAGGTTGGAGACCCTTGCTTTAGACACAAACCTTGCTGGGCAGACAACCTCCAGAATTTGATGTAGTAAGTCACATCCATCTTGTTACCTGTAGATTTAGTTGAGCTTCCGGATATTCTCTCCTTGCTGGAAGAATTTTGAGACAATTTATTAGAATGCGAAGATTGCCGTGGAGACCGTGAATGGTGTCTGGGACTAGGAGGGTGCCTTGGACTTCGACTTCTTGGTCGACTTGTCCTGTGACGCTCAGAGCTCCTTGATCGTGACCATCTCCTTCTCTCCCTGCTAGAAGAACTTTGAGACCATCTACTAGAATGCAAAGACTGCCGTGGAGACCTTGACCGAGACCTTGACCGGTGTCTGGGACTAGGAAGGCGCCTTGGGCTTCGACTTCTTGGTCGACTTGTCCTGCGGCGCTCAGAGCTCCTTGATCGTGACCGAGTTCGATGCCTGGCATAGCCAGAGCATCTTAAAAGTTTTGGGCAAGGACTGGCAGAATGCCGACTTGGACTTCGACTTCTTGGTCGACCTGTCCTGTGACGCTCAGAGCTCCTTGATCGTGACCGAGTTCGATGCCTGGCATAGCCAGAGCCTGAGCATCTTGAATGTTTTGGGCAAGGACTGGCAGAATGCCGACTTGGACTTCGACTTCTTGGTCGACTTGCCCTGTGACGCCCAGAGCTCCTTGATCGTGACCGAGTCCAATGCCTGGCATGGCCAGAGCTTGAGCGTCTTGAACGTTTCGGGCTAGGGCTGGCAGAACGCTGCCTTGATTCGTGCCTCTCTTGTCTGTCAGCTTCGTGTCTGTGGAACAGGCAGATATCAAAATATTCACAAATGTGTTCACTGTGAAAGAAATAAACTGATCAGTCTTCAAAATGGAAACAAGTTTTTCTCCCTCAAGGGAAATAAAGCTAGGAAGTTAACAGGCAAAGTTAGAGGGAAAGGGTGACACATGACTTTGTCGCAGACCCTGTATAGAAATATTGATTTCTAGAAGTCTCATGCCTTCCCTGGGATGTCTTTCTGATCACATGCTGTGTCTTATTTCCTGTTGCCAGCCAAATGGCCTGAACATTTGGCCGGAGAAACTTTATAACCCTGTTATATAACCGCACATTCTTCACACTTCCATGCTGGAAGCTAGGCCAACATGCCAGAGGTCACGTAGCCGATGGGAGAAGCTGGAGTTGGGGGCCATGTGACTGCAGGCGTGGTTTCCAAACTTACAGCCTATCCCCAGTTGTACCCATGACAACCAACAAATTGGACACACCCTTCCTACTCGTAATTGGCTGATGGCCACAGCTGATTGTGACTGGAATGGGCCTATAACTGGTCATTCCCTATGGAGAGAGATCTCTTGATCTCTGCTATCTCTGCTGCCCTTGTCCTCTATTTTGTTTTACTACACCTGAAATGCTGCCCTGCCATGCTGTCTGTTGGAGAACAAAGGATTGCTTTGTGCCTTAGAGCACATGGAGGGCAAGGATGGGATTTCACTTAAAGATCCCTTGGTGTCTAATTGGACTGTATACCCTGGACATGGTAAATATGAAGCATTAATGTTTAGTTAAGGCAAACCGCCTTAGGCTTGTTATTTTGTAAACTCTATAGTCTCTTCTGCTAAGCTCTGACCTGAATAAAATATTATTCTTGTTTCTAAATGATTTCTGATGTTGTAACTGGGATTCCAAGCCTAAAATCCTGTAGCCTAAACGCTGACCACACAGCGCTACCACTGTGATAATAATGTGTTAAGCCCCAGAGGCCAGCTAAGAGGCTGAACCTTGCTCTTGGGCTGGAAGGGGGCTCTAGTTAAAAGAGGTTCTGGTGGCCTGAATCCAGAGAGGGTAGCCTACCTCTCTGGGTTGTTGTTTAATGTATTGAACCAGTATAGGGTTCCCTCTCATTTCTGGACAGGCTTGAGGGGCAGAATCCTATACAGACCCGAACTGTCAATGGTTGAATGAAGCAAGCTTGAGAACTTATTTTTACTATTTCAGCACATAACTCAATGTTACATACTTGAGAGCGATAACTGAATTGTTGGATGAATGCTCAGAAATAAATCTTGTGATATGAAGAATGAGCAGATCACTGGTTTGCAACATTGCTTGGGAAAGTTAAGTACAAGCTTGGAAATGCTTACATCAGAGACTCAAAGGAGATTAACTGAATGAGTCTTTTAGAGCCACGTTGATTTCACGTAACGGGGCCTAATAATTCTGAAAGCGCTTTGGTGAGAACCTTAGAAATTGTTTCCACCAATACCACGTTGCCTTCCTGCTCTCCGTCAGGGCACACTGGACTCTGTCTCCCAGGCAGGAAACACCTGAATGGGCTCACCTAGACATGGCTCAGCTCCACCCCCTACGTATGGGCAGCCTTGGGCCCTACCCACTGAAATCATCCACAAGAGTCTTCTCCTGTTATTGAGACCACTGGGTTGACCTGACATATGGCTGGTAACTGAGCTGGCTTCAGACCCATTCACACACAGAGCTCTAATTATCTGGAAAAATCGTAACAGTAAGATAGGAAACACGGGTGTGTGGGTTTGGGGTTGAAACACTGAGTGTCTAATGTAGGGCTCCCCCACAACATGGCACCCACACCCACCAGTGGTTCCCCTGGTGCCTGCCAAGATTCTTAGAACGTGGGTGGGGCCATTATAAGGTACAGCTTGTTATTGGCTGCCCTCCTTGTAATGGAAGGAGAGTCTACTGGAGGATCAGGAGGACTGGTAAGCACAGGGGCTTTCCTTAGTCAGTGTGTGGCACCATTCTCCCTTCAGGCTTTCCTTCTTCCCACATGGTGTTCTGATCGCTGTTGATTTCAAACTCTTCATTATCCTCACTGTCTGCCCTCTGGCTTTGGTCCTGAGACTTTTGCCACTACAGAACTGCCCCACTCCCACTGCTTTCCCCAGAAATTCTCCCTAGACATACTATCATTCTACATATTTTTTTCAGAAGCCAAACTAACACAATCTTGATTCCATCCGTTCTCAGTATAACTTGGAACTAAACACCACAATTCACTTCTCTCAAAGATAAAATGCAACTACCATTTTATTTAAGCTATTTATAGTTTGCCTTTTTCACTGACAATCTATCTAAGACAAATTCTCCAGAAAACTCTTCTACGAGTAAGTGGTGTCCCACTAGATTTAGCCACCTGGGACTGGCTGAGAGCGATGTCTGTCAGATTCCTAGAGACAATCTGGGTCACATGTTCTGGGGATGCCCCAAAATCACATGTTTCTGGCAAGGTATAAGATCCTGGATTGATCTTACATTATCTGCTAAATTGTGCCTTACAGCTAGTATCCTCAGCTACATACCAGCTTTCTAGGCATCCCCCAAGCATAGCAGCCCTGTCTGCCAAGTGACTTACAGCACTAGAAATCTCGTATTCCTCCCTTAGTGGATCAGCGAGATCTGTGTATAAGGGAGAGAATCACTTAAAACAGACAAAAAACCCCTCAATTTGGCAAGGCTTCCTAGGTGTTTCTGAGCAGCGAGACCCCCCCCCCCACTTCCTGCATTCCTTGCTGAGAGCCAGTTTGGTGTAGTGGTTAAGTGCGCGGACTCTAATCTGGGAGAACCGGGGTGGATTCCCCACTCCTCCACTTGCACCTGCTGATGTGACCTTGGGTCAGTCACAAGCTCTGGCACAGCTGTCCTTGAAAAAGAGCAGTTTGTGTCAGAGTTCCCTCAGCCCCACCCACCTCACAGGGTGTCTGCTGTGGGGAGGGGAAGGGAGAGGAGTTTGTAAGCCGCTCTGAGACTCCAAGTGAAGGGCGGGGTATAAATCCAATCTCTTCTTCTTCTTTTTCTTCTTGCTTAGCTGAGTCCATAGTGCAGCCTCCCCCCTCCCCCCTTTAAACCTCAAATCTGCCTCTGTGTGCTGCTACTCCTTCCTTTCCCCCCCCCTTTTCTCTTGCTGATGGGCTTTGTTGGGGGAAAAGGTGGGGGGAAGGGTGGTTAGTAGGTTACACGACTTCTATTTACCATTCTAGGCGGAAAACCAGTTTTCAAAAGTCCTAATAAAAAGGGGACTGGGGATTCTGCAAGGCAATAAGTGAATGGAATGCACGAAGCCCTAACATTTCACTCCAGAGAACAACAAAGCTGTCCATGGGTCACAGATGTGGAGCTTTGACTCTTGAAAGCTTGTAACCCAAAAACCTTGATGGTCTCTAAGATGCTACTGGACTAGACTCCACCTATTCTACTCCAGCCCAACATGGCAACCCTCTGAAACATTCATTCTGGTGCTGTTCCTAGCACGTAAGAGTAGCTTAGATGCAAAACAGACTGATAAAAGCCGTATTTTCACATAGCTGACGCTCTGTAACTGTGATAGATGGAAGTTCAACAGAGGAGCCCCAGAGGACGCTTGCTGTGGATTCAAGAAAGCAGCGGCCAAGCCTCCAAGAACCAATGTGCTGCAAGGAATCAGCTGCCATTCCCAGATGCAAACAACACATGCTCGGTACCTCCTTCACCACAGAATCACACACTGATTCACTAGAACACGATTATAAGATGAGAGAAAATACACTTTTTCACCTTAACTGTTACCAAGGAAAGTTAAACATAGTTTAAACATTACCTTTTGGGTGAACAGGGGTTTTCAGGAGCCCAGTTTGGATACCTGTTTCAAGAATAGAAACGTCAGTGATCTGGCCAAATCAAATCAATCCAGCTAGTTCAAATCAAGCCTCAATTCCCCCCTACACAGAAATGACTAAACTGAGCTGTGACGTCCTCCTTATTGGGGAGGACTGGGTTCCCTTTAAAAGTGTTCTTTTTATTTTGTTCTACTGGGTATAGACGGCTGCCACCAGGAAATTTTAAGGATTTCCAAACCTTTATACTTTTACTTCTGCTCTTACTGGTTAGGTAGACCGAATTCAAGGCTTACGAGGAACTATGTGGTCCTGAGGAAGTATGTCTTTCAGATCTGGTATACTTGAATAAAATATTTATTGAAATAATCCATAAATAAAAGGGTAGAACAATGTAACTATTAATGTGTAAATAATGAAAAATTGCTTGGTGTATCACACACAATCTGCTCCCTTACTAACAGGGATCTTTCAGGTAACTTTGTAACACTTTAACTCAAGGTCATATATGTTCACTGTCTCTCTCCAGGACATACAGCCTTTCCTATAACTTGTCTTCAATTAAGCTTTCATTTAATTTTTCCTATTCTCTCAGCCTTCCTTCTGCTTCTCACTTCCCTCACACATAGAACTAACTGCTTGTCTAACTCATTCCCCACACAGAACTAACTGAACTTATCAACTGTCAAACCTGTAACTGTCGCCCCTGACTGACATACATACTCATCCACTCATTTTCACTGCCAAAACCCCTCCCCCTCTCTGTCAACCACCAATCATACCACGCTTGCTTCTCTCAACCACTCTAGTCTACTTACCACCGCCATGCAACCAAACTTTTAAAGACACACACACACACCAAAAACAAGGACTCCTGACATGAGCCTACTGTGCTTTGGTCACATTATGAGAAGTCAAGGAAGGCACAGCCCTCTATTTGCAAGACCTGAGGAAGGCTGCTAATGATAAAACGTTTCGGGGGACATTAATTCATACAGGTGCCGTAAGTCAGATGTGATATGAGGGCACTTGTCTCTCTCTCTCACGCACGCACACACGCAGGCACACACTCTAGCCGTCTGAATTACTATTTTAACATGAAACATTTCTCTAGGAAGAAGGACTGCAAAACAAACTGTCCCCGCAGGGGATTCCCAGGCCATTGTAGTTCAAGCTGTGTTTGCCCTCCGGGGTCCCCTCCCCCACTCTCTTCTCTGTTCCCACGATGCAGAAAAAGCGAAAAATCATCTGGCCGTCATCACAGCAACCCACTATAATCTTTCCTAGCAAGCTGCATTTTCCACTCAAATGATTTGGAGTTCCAGAAGCTTGCAGACCCTACATCCATGAGGTATGGATGAACACAGCCTCACAAAAGTGACACTCCGGGTCTGTAAGAGCCTGCTGAGCACGGACAGTGTGACAGACCACAGAACTCATCCTTTCTCTATGACCAACCATTCAGGCTTAGGAGGACAGCTCAAACCTTTTCTCAGACACATCAGGATACACGCAGGAGGTTAGACACAGTATGGCCCTCTTCAGCTGAATAAAATAAAGGCCATTACATGGGCATCTGAAGTACAGTAACGAGGTAGTCTGTCATTTCAGTGTACAATTTAAATGAATGTTCTTACTGCTGGAGGAGCCGACGACAGTTCTCATTGTGCAGAAAGGTATTCTGGTGCTGAAGCCAGTCCTACAGGAGAGAAAGACAGTCACAGATGCAAGAGGGTACCCAAACTGAGATGAAGCCCACACGCAACAAACACCCATTTTGCATTAACTCAGGCCTGTCCGGATCATGCCATGTAAACAGAAGGCAGCATGGGAGTGGAGAACTGCCTGCACCCAGCAAGATCTTTCCCCAGTTTCCCCCTCTCACTGTGACTCAGCAAGCCACCCCAAATTGTGTTGCTAGGGGTCTGCAGCAGCTCAGGTGCAGGACAGGGAGTAAAAGTGGGGGATCTGCAGCAAGGGGGACGAAGTGGCAGAGATCACAGGATGGAAGTGCTCCATGTTTGTAACTGAGTGCTTGGATACAAACCACTCTTTGGAATGGCTGCACATCTTACTCAGGTTGACGGAAACACACCTGTTCCAGAAAAAGCAGCAGAGCAAAGACAGCTGTCATGAGGTAGCCCTGCTCTCCCCGGATATAAAGGCTAACACAGAACTCTCCCTGCGGTGTGCCCAAGCATTACAGAGTCTATCCCAGCACCACGGGTCATACTGCGGAGATCAAAAGCCATCAGTGGGGATGAAGAAGCAGTGAGAGCAACAAGCATGCTACGAACTGGATAGCTTGACTACACAACTCCACAGCATGTTTACTCTTCTTGATATACAAGGAGGTACTACAAAAATGAATTTTTTGGCTAAAATTTTGCATAACTCTATGTTCTATGCCCGCTGGAGATGTGAAAAGCTACACGAGAACAATGTTCTGGTTTGCTAGGAGCACGTGAACTCATGAAGCTGCTTTATATGGGGTCAGTCCTTGGTCCATCTAAGTCAACCTTACCTACTCAGACAGGCAGCAGGGAGAAGTCTTTCACATGTCGTACTAACTGATTCTTTTAGCTGGAGATGCTGGGGACTGGACCTGGGACCTTTTGCTTAGCAAGTAGGTATTCTACCACCAGGCCCTCTTTCAATATGGTCGGATGGAACACTTGAATCTGCCTTCTACTGAATCAGACCCTTGGCCCACCAAAGTCAATACTGTCTACTCAGGCTACCAGCAGCTCTCCAAGGTCTCCAGTAGAGATCCTTCACAACTCCTACCACCTGATTCTCTCAGCTGCAGTGGCTGGGTACTGAACTTGGGACCTTCTGCCTGGCAAGCTGTTCCTGATCCACTGCCTTCCTACAGCTTCTATATCATCCCCAAATGGCTTGGCCTCCTCCTATATGGCCTAACATAACTATTAACATCAACCAAACACAACTCACCACAATTCCTGTTAATTCAGCAGGGTATAGATGATCTACAGAAACCCGCAATTTCTTTTCACAGGGCTTCTTTTACTTACTTTGACAAGCCTTTATTCTCAGGGCTTCATACTCTCAAGAAATAGGTTCTTGGAGAAGTGAATGTGTGAATTTGAAATTGGAGCTTCGTTGTTGCTTGATCAGTAAATATAATTTAGATCATTCATTTAACAGTCTGAGTTAGGAGTGTGCATTTGGATCAACCCAAACCAAATATATACCTATTTTTTGGGTAGATTTCGGCATCCCAAATGTATCTGGGTTTTTTCAGGAAAACTGGGGGGGGGGGGATCCCCCCTCCCATCCCAGATATATTCAGGGAATTACCGGTAGATCCAAAAACAGCGGAGAGGCAGTAGAAGATTGCTCCTGTTTAAACCGGGCTACAGGAGAAGTCAGCCCCAGGATCTACTGTGCCACGGGCAGCAGTCTGCTAGCCGTGGCACAGCAAATCCTGGTGTTCGCTTCTCCTTCAGCCCGGTTACAAACCGAGTTAATAATAAAAATGATGTCTGAAACCTTTTGACTGGTGCCCAACTAAGAAGATGACCGTTCTGTTAATTATTCTGAAATTGCATTGATAATCATAGTACTGAAGTAATACTACAAAAAAAGCACAGAGACACAACTATATGATGTAATATACTCCTGAAGAAGCAGCTGAATGAAACTAAGTATTAATCCAGAATCTTCATTGTGTGTTACTATATGGTGTTACTATATTGACCTGTTGAATGTTACTATACTGCTACTGTATTGCTGATATTGTATATGTTCGGATTTCTTATTCTTCGAGATAAATGGTTATTATTTTTTAGCATCCCATTTCTCAGGTTATTTTTCCTTTTTTGGTTTATGGTGGAAAGTGTATATATATTTTGGGCTGTATCAACAGAAGTATAGTGTCCAGATCACGCAAAGCGATGGTACCGCTTTCCTCTGCTCTGGTTAGACCTCACCTAGAGTACTGTGTTCAGTTTTGGGCACCACAATTTAAGAAGGATATAGACAAGCTGGAACATGTCCAGAAGAGGGCAATGAAGATAGTGAGGGGTCTGGAGACCAAGCCCTATGAGGAAAGGTTGAAGGAGCTGAGTACGTTTAGCCTAGAGAGATGACCGAGAGGTGATATGATAACCATCTTCAAGTACTTGAAGGGTTGTCATCTAGTGGATGGTACAGAGTTGTTTTCTGTTGCCCCAGAAGGTCGGATCAAAATCAATGGGTTAAAATTAAATCAGAAGAGTTTGTGGCTAAACATTAGGAAAAACTTCCTGACAAAGCGGTTCCTCAGTGGAACAGGCTTCCTCGGGAGGTGGTGGGCTCTCCTTCTTGGGAGGTTTTCAAACAGAGCCCAGGTGGCCATCTGACAGCAATGCTGATTCTGTGAACTCAGGCAGATCATGAGAGGGAGGGCAGGGAGGGCTGCCTCAGTGCTTAGTTCTTGTGGCCCTTTCTTACATGCCCAGGGAACTTCTGATGGCCACTTTGGGGTCAGGAAGCCATTTTTCTCCAGGCCAGGTTGGCCAGGGATCCTGGAGGGGGGTTGGTTGGTCATCTTCTGGGCGTGGAACAGCGGTCACTGTGGGTGTGGAGGGGGAGGTATTTGTGACTTTCCTGCATTGTGCAGGGGGGGTTTGGAATAGATGAGGTCCCTTCCAACTCTACAGTTCTATGAAAATAGATTAGTTATGAAGTTTGAAACTTAAACTTAAAATGTTGAATACAGTCATCTCCCAACAGAAAAATTATTGTATAATACAGAGGATACCTTAAAAACTATAACGAAAGGGATATAAAGAGAAAATATTTCTGTCTTATACATTTTGTAGTACATGACTGTCCTCGGAAAATGTAAATATGTTGTATAATCTCCCTTTTTTTTCCCTTTCCCTTTCCTGTATCCCCACTGTCTTCCTAAATTTTAAACAAAGTGGCCCTTCCAAGTATCCTGGAAGGTACTCCTGACACAGAGCAGATACGACCTCCATCCACAACGAGATGCCACAACTCCTACAAGCCCCCAAATTTCTAATTATCCTTGCTCAGGCGCTGAAGTTTTATGTTCCAAACAGCTCACTCCAAGTCCTGAGGCAACGTTTTGTACCGAGTGAAGCTCCTGAGACATCCTGAAATGTGGTCTCACGTCGAGTGCGTTTCAGGAGCCCAATCTGAATCTTACAGCAAACTGGGATTGTCACGGCTAGGTCAACAGAGCTTAAATAAGAGGCCAAGGCCCAGGCTAGCCTGATCTAGTAGGATCCTGGAAGCTAAGCAGGTCCTTTGAATCATGGGTCAGTGGTTGGAAATGTGCTTGGCATGCAGAAGGTCCCAGGTTCAACCCCCAGCATCTCCAGTTAACAACAACAACAAAAAGGGAACAGGCAGGAGGTGCCTGACACTCTCCAGAGCTGCTGCCAGTCTGTGTAGACAAGACTGACTCTGATGGATTGATAGTCTGATTCACTGCAAGGCAGCTTCATGGGTGGCCCGGGCTAGTCCTTGGGTAGGAGACCACCAAGGAAGCCCAGGGTTGCAATGCAGAAGCAGGCCATGGCCAACCACCTGTGCTCATCTCTTGCCTTGAAACCCCTATGGGGTGGCCATAAGTCAGCTGCGACTGGACAGCAACACTATTATGAGGTTGATGTAGCTCAAAGAAGGCATTCCTAACAACACTGCCAACCTGTTTATTCATGGACAGGGCCAGACCCGGGAGCATCCCCGAGCTCTTCACTTGCTCTGCGAAAGAAAGCCCAACCCCATCTAAGCCTAGTACATCGACACTGGCCTTCCCAACCAGAATCAATCCTGTTTGCTCAGCAGGGGTAGGATCCATCTCACTGAGATGTAAAGTGATGTGTCATCCACAACCAAAGCGCCAGGTAATCTTGGCCAAAGGTTTTACATACAAGTTAAAGAGCACTGGGCAAACCAGGCATCAAGTCCCAACTGGCTGACTCTGCCTACGGAAACGCTTTGCGTCCTGCCAACAAGCACAGACCGGAACCTTTTTGTTCCAAACACTGATTGTAATGGATCCACCAAAATAGTGGGGACAACCACACCAATTACTGCTGAGAGGCCTCCCAGTATCAGCAGCAACAGTCTGCCTGACCTAACTTTAGCCAGAGATCATCAACCGAGGCCAAGAGTGCTGTTTCAGTCCCGAGTCCAGGTCTGCAGCCTGAATGAAGTCGGTCAAGGGCAGATGTTCTTCCAGAAATGCCTGCAGTTGCTCTGTCGCAATGTGCTTGTTCGGGTGGGGGAAGAGAATGAGGAAGACCTTGCTGGCTTCCCTGCAGCCAACACACAGCAGCTGAGCTGAGCTCCCTCTGGGAGAAGTTCCTCTTCCCCTCTGCACAGTTACTTAAAGCCTGGGTGGGAACAGAGACATGATTCAAAGGACTCCTAGCCCTTATCTTGTGGCTTCCAGCCCGTGTTGTACAGCCTCTTAAGAAGAGCCCTGCTGGACCAGACCAGTGAGGGTCCATCCAGTCCAGCGTCCTTTCTCACAAAGTGGCCAACCAGTTCCTCTGGACGGCCAACAACTGGGCGTAGAGGCCACGGCCTACCCTTGATGTTGTCTCC